CTGAATTATAGGCATAGTCCCAGCAATGAGTCATGGGATGCAGGTGACCAAGTGAAGTTGAAAACCGTATGGCCAGCACTCGTAATCAGTGTAATTGTAAATACCACATAGGAATGTAAATGATTAGCTTGATTGCTTGGATGATAAAACTGCTTGCTATACTGCCCCAAGGTATGGTTTCTTCACTAACCTGCCACCATCAGTGCTGCCCATAAATTTGAGTAAGCCAGTGTCTTTACCTGTCCAACCTCTGAATGACTTCCTTGGAATGGGTAAATATTATATACAAGTCCTCTCAGATCTGGGGTTACCAAGGTCAGTTCAGCAAACGTTGGGCACTTACTCTGTGGAAGTCTGTTTTAGGCTGTTACTGCTGGTGGTGGTGCCAGTGGTGGTGGCGGCGGTGGCGACCACAAGGGAGCATCCCAGTTGAATAAGAGTGTGCTTGGTAGAACACATAAATTAATCTTCAGTAGGAATGTGCTCTATCTGGATTCTGTTGCAATCACGCTGATGAAGTAGATATATATTTACTGACAGTGATCTCCAGGATAGATTAGCAAATTTAAAAATCATAATTTGTATCCTGTACATGCATAGCAAAAGGCCTAGAAATATGCGCCAAACAGCTGAGAGCAAGAATGGAGAGTGAGTATAATTAAAGTTGGAAAGAGAGAATTTTCAATTTGTCAGTATTGTTTGGACTACTCTACTAGGAAATGTTCTTTGTGTGATTGTATTTATGAGTGATTTAAGAATATGAAATGGTTTGCATTGGTAGAGACCAGGAGCTGGATATTACAGGCTAAGGGAGAAAAAAAGAATATGAGCAAAGGCGTGAAGATGTGAAAATGGAGTAGTTTATTAGTATGCAGTTTTTTGGATGATTTAATGTGGCTTATATAGTCCTAAATTATTGGTTGTCATTCATTTAAGATAATGACATGTTTCAATAGGATTTTAAGTGAGTTAGGCAGATACATCTGTGGAAGCTGAATGGTTTGATGGGTACTTTAGTTGGGAACCTAATTGATTTTACACAGCTTCTCCAGTGCCAGCAAAGCCAGATGCTGCTTTGTGGTTATTCTTGAATATCACCCCCCCTTTTAAGATTACATAATGTTTGCCAGACGGAGAAGAACAGAAACCAGTTTGTATTTTAAGAAGAAGCGTCATCCAGCCATGCTGCTAGCTTAAAGTTTGTTATCTTTCCCCAAGTACACAGATCCCAAAGCACACATGACATTGGTGTTACCTCCATATAAAAAGTATCATGAACCATCAGTCTGCTTGCTCTGGGCACTATTCTGGGTATTCTAGATAGACATTTAGACCGACTAAATCACTTTCTCTGATTTTAATTTTGTGTTACAAGTAAATGTCATATGTAATGTGCAAAAGACAGATCAGTGTATATGCTCAGCTACAGTTTTTAGTTTTATGTTCTGATCTGGGTATTTTGAAGCACTTACAATGCATAATGTGCTATGTAAGAGTTTCTTGTATGATTCGAGAACACACTATAGTGGGGGTAAGGAAAGTTCTTTCAAATTGAAATTCTAAAAATTAACTTTCTCGGAATAAGGCTTGAGTAAAAACGAATTAAGACCGCGGAAAAGATGATAATTTGCAAATGCTTGCAAATTGAAGCTTCCAGTACACATGTTTATAGGCTGTTTTCCCTTATCGGCCCTGCCTAGGGTTGGGAGTCTTTTAAGTTTGGGCCATTTAGGTGACCTTTTTGATACTTTTTATTTTTATTTTAAAGATGTGGGGTGCAACTCAGGGTTCATAAGTGGCCATCGTGCAGGGGAAGTTTGGGACTCCCATCGGTCCACATGCCCCTTGGCTTAGGATCAGGTACCCTTATTAATGTTTTGTGCCCCCCACCCCTTGTCTGACAGTGACCTGCTACTGCCAGTCTCTTTCAGGTAGTATTATGACAGATGTTCAGTGTACACGATGGAATATTACACAGCCATAAAGAAGGATAAAATTATGGACTTTGCAGCAACTTGGATGCATTTAGAGTCTATCATATGCAATGATCTATCACAGAAACAAAGACAGTTTATTTTCCAGTGATTCAGCTTTATATTTGGAATATGGGAACAAAGGTTTAGCACACATACTATCATGGATATAACTATAAAAGTTTCAAGGTTATTTGAATACATTTGTACATCTAAATTAAGAAATAATTTTAGTAGTTTACTTTAGAAGGTTACAACTTATGATTATATTTCTGTTTCCTAAAATAAGTAGCCCATTTTTTTTTTTAGAGCAAAACATACCAACAAAACTGCAAAACTCTGATTTGTATTGTTTTAAGTTTTCCTGAAAGGCGCAAACTATATATTTTTTTCTGTCTTAGCTTTTCTATTACAGTTGGGTCTGTGGAGGGGGGAGAGAGTGCATGATAAAGATGAGTCAGAAGAAAATGGGTTGAGGTTGTAAGAGACAGAGAATTGTCTTTGAGGATTGTTTGCATGTTTCTTCCTGCTAACTCCCACTATCTGGAAAAATACCTGTAGCAGGCCTGTCACTCTGTGGAAAAATACAATTCATTTGACAGGATTAATTCATTTCAAGCTCATGTGGTTTTCAAGGCTCTTTAAAATAATGTGAGCTATTACAGTAATCCATACTTTAACATTTTGATCAAAGTGAGGCATGAAGCAATTTAAATACACCTAGAATGTAAACTTTTAAATGTTACTGGAAAGTGCATTTCCTTGACAATACCGGAACATTTTGGATGTTATGAACAGGTGCATAATTATAGACTTGTATTTTCAAACACCATTCATCCAAAGTAGAATTCATGAAAAAACCAATGTTAAGAAATGAATGGTGCTTCATAAATGTCACAAATGGAGAGAAATTATAATACGCAAGACTAATAATAATGGCCCACTTATTTTGAGTTCTTGTTATATTCTTGATACTGTATACTCTTGAACTCTTTACATATATTATCTCATTTACTTTTTACAACAAGCTTATGAGAAGGGTATGTAATTATTAACCAATTTTTTTTCAGGGAAGGAAATCAAAGATTAGAAACATGAATAGCTAGTAAGGAATGAGGCCAGGATTCTGCCTTAGGTTCTCTGTTTATAGCATCCATACTCCAATCTATCAGGATGTGCTGATTCTAAAGTGATTAATGAATATTTGTCTGAAATTAGACCAATGGTGTGCAGGAAATGGCTCTTACTGTTGAGAGTTGAGTGTTAGAAATTTTGGATTTTTGTGAGCCAATTTGTAAACTTTGGTAATTTGAAATCATCAGTGATTGGAGTATTTACATCACAGAAATGGGAAAATGCTACAAACCGAGGCATTCTTTTCTGAGTTTGTTCACCAGCACACCTCGTCAGCACTATTTGTTGAAGTATATCCGACAAATCCTCATATTTTAAACAGATATGAATGAAATAAACACTTAGATTACCATATTTTTTCCAGTAGCATTTGTCTTGATCTCAAGAGAGACTATAATCAGTATATTAGAACTTTAAAAATTAAAGTTAAGAATATGCATCGTTAAATTTCATAGTAGGAGAGTTCTTTCCTAGCTTCCAATCCTGTATCTGAGGATTTGTTTTTAGAAAGAAAGTCCTTGTCTGGCCAACTGCAGAGTGAAAAGCAGTTAGCTGTGCTCAGATTTGAGAGAACCCCTTGACCAATGGCTGAATTGTCTGGGGAGAAATAAAAACTGGTTGGTTGAACAGAATCCCATGATAGGAGGATGGAGGAATCCAGAGAAGGAAAGTTCATTGAAAAAAAAAACAACATAAAAAGGAAGTCTGTGGGGTCTGAGTAATCTTTGTGGCCTGATTCTAGGCTTCACTTATCCATAAAATAATTTTAAATTTAATTTTAGAACACTAGTACTATTTTTTCCTTGAAACCGTAATGCATAATTCTGTGCTGCTGATGAAAAATCATTCCAGCAGTAGGGGTTCAATTGAAGAAATACTTAAAACTTATAAGTTGTGATTTTGATACATTGCATCAAACTTATCCTTCTAAATGTTCTTTTTATGAAGAAGGCATAATCTTGCTTGAATTTTGTGTTTCGTCTCTTGGTAATGTTCTTCTGTCATGAAAGTCCTCCTTTGAGCATCTGCTGATACCTACTTGGGCTGCATCTTGCTTATTTCAAGCAGAAACATTCCTGATTAATAACTAGTTACTGCTATACTCTAACACAGCAGTCAGTTCTTATCCTGGCTCCTTGACCTCCTTTGTAGTTACCTTTTGAGATGTTCAGAATTTATAGTGTATTGATTAGAGTAGAAGTTTAAGGGAAGGAAAGAAAAGGGAAAAAGAATGGAGGATAAAAAAGTAAAGCAATAGGTATACATATGCATTGAATAAAAGCCAAATGACCACACCCACATTAGGCAAAATAGGACATCCGACTTGAATAAAAAAAAGTAATTGAAAGGATTGTATTTGTGGATGAGAAGGCTATGTAGATGAATATTTTATACCGCCTTCATTTTGTAGTTGCTCAACTTCAGTATTTGTGGCAAGTGTTATTTTTATCCTTTAATTTTTTTTTATTAGCATGGTGCTTCATAGGTTAGAAATAAATGCTTGAGAGTCAGAGAAATCTGGATTGAATCCTAGCTTGAAAATTCTATAACTCTGTCACTTGGGGAGAGTATTCTAACTTCTCTGTTATCTTGCCCTAACAATGGTAATAATAATTATTATTCCAGACAACCACAAGAGGTACAGATGAGGCTTCCTAGTACAACATTTATCAGACTGGGCACTCAATGAATGGCAGTCATTGTTACCTGTGATTTTAAAAATGTGTAAATGTGTTCAATGTGAGCAGTAACAAGAATGCGTCTTGATGATTTGGAAACTCTTGGTAGGAAGCTGACAAATACTTCTACTCTTCCTATAAAAGAAACTGGAGTACACTAAGGTAAACTGCACCTGACTGCTTGCTGATGATGGCTTTCCGTCTTTCTGTGCAGAATGTCCCCCCAGACCTCTCCATCTGCACCTTTGTCCTGGAACAGTCCCTGTCAGTCCGGGCCCTGCAGGAGATGCTGGCTAACACCGTGGAGAAATCAGAAGGGGCAAGTACCCGATTTATGTAGACTTGCAGTGTTTTAATGAATGCAGCTACTGTATGAACAATTTCTTTCACTGGTATTCAAGATTTTCTTTTTGCTGAGATAAGTCCGTGCCTTTTACTTGTGATTATCTTAGGTTTGACTTTCTGCTTTATCCAGCAAAGCTGTGGTATCTTAAAAACTTTCAAAAACTTACCAGTCTTGATGTGATCTGTGCCTTTGAGCCTCCTCATGCTTATGTCTGTGGTTTAAGATAGAACTTTTTTTTTTTTTGAGCATTTGTGCATCTCTTTACATTTTCAGAACTGTTGTTTTAAAAGCAGTTGTTTTAACTAATTGCTTTATGCATGGCTGTTTGTCGTTAACCTTTATTTCATTTTCAAATGCCTCTAACTATGTGACTGTGTTCTAAGCTTCTTCATGGAAAGTAAAATTTCATGGCACTGTTATATATTTTAAGAAACAAAATTATGGTGATATAGCTTTATTCAGTTGTAATTTTGCCAACAGCTAATCGTTTTCTTCTGAAAATTGAAATTTTTATGCTGTCTCTTAATACAAATCTTTTTCTTTTAAAGCCTATCTGGTTATTGTACTTATTTTCCACGAGACTTGTTATGACTGATTTCTTAACTAATTCATTAAAGTTTAGAATTAAGCGGGAGGATGAACGGTCAAATTTTTGTTTCCTTTGGGTTTTTTTTTTAATGGTACTGTAATCACATGGTTTAATAAACTATAGTGTATCTAGGAATGAAACTAAACATTTTCTCTTGCCCTTATTGATCTATGTATTGCTCTTATGGTTCATCATTGTTCTGGTCTGGATAAGTAAAGAGATTAAAACTAATGAGTGATTATCCATAGAAATGAGTGATCAATTCTGATGTAACATTATTTTAATCAGCATCATAGCTTTTACATTTAGTGTTATGCAGCTTAGTACTTTATGTGGTTTGTGCATTCATTCTAAATTAATTTAAATTGGAACAGTATATTATTAAGTGTAGAGAAGAAACTTTAGAGATTTTTATTTGATATCAGACTAAAAACTTATTTTACAAAAGCTCCAAATTATTGTATTAAAATGTGTAACTTTCTTCTAAAAAATTTAGTCTTTTATTCAAAGCTTGTAGTGTAGTCTAAAATTAAGAAAGAGTAAAAAAAAATTCTCAATTCAACTGGTTTCTACCTGAAATAACCCCTCCTGATTTTTAAACATCACTGAATCATATCAACTTTGAAACATTGTATTTCTTTTGCATTTATATTGCTATTTCATCTATCTTTGTGGATGCCAACTTAGAACTAAATTGCCATAAATTTAATTTTTATGTTGCTAAGCTGCTTTTTCTAAATTTAACGTCTTTGAAAAGATCTTTTATCTTCCTCAAATCATGGGGTTGAACTAGGCAAACTTTAAAGTTTCTGTGAATATAGGAAGTAATTTGAAATACTATTGTGGGATTTATTTTTTAAGGTCGAGGTCCTGCTATATTGCCCACGCTGTTCTCAAACGCCTGAACTCGTGCAGTTCTCCTGCTTCAGCCTTTCAAGTAGCTAGGATTACAAGTGCATGCCACCATGCTCAACTCTTAAGATTTATGTTTTTAAGATATTTATTAGTTAGAATTTCTGGACTCTCTCAAATATTTTTATTTAGCTGAATTTAGTTTTGGATTGTTTTCTATCTAGAAAGTTTCTATCCGTGATAAAGTGGTAATTTATGTGATGTGCAGAACTCCATTTTATAAAAGCCAACACAACTATCATAAGACATTAATTAGGAAATATAATTTGAGTAAAATCTGCTATAGGAAAGAAATATATTTCGTGGAACTGGATCTCACTTTTAGCGACTAGTAGCTTTTAGAAAGAAACCATGTCAAATAGCTCAACAGAGTACTGTATTTTAGGGAGGAAAAAGATTTTCCGAATGGTTGAGTAGTTTTGATTATACTCAGATGTGATATTCAAATTATTTTCCAACTCGTTTGACACAGGTACCAGTTAATCAGAGTGACTCAGTGCTGGAGGATGCGTCCAAGAGATCTCTGTTGTGTTTATGGATGTGTGGGTGGCCTGAGTGATTTGGGGGTTATCCTAGAGGACCTCTGGGGTGGTCGGGGTACGGAGCACTCTGGGGATGTGTGTCAGCAACTGTTTACTAAGAAGGACAGATCTTTCCACTTTAACAACCGTTTTAGTCACACTGGCTAAATATCATGTCTGATTATATGTGATCGGTGGATGCTGCTGGCACTTGTAGGAAGCAGGTTTTTTTGGAGTCCAAATTGCACCTTTTCTAGTGTCTTACATTTTCTTTGAGCCCATTATGGAACTGCTGGTGAATCCTTTTGTCAAGCCAATTGTTATCTCCAACTTAATAAACCATATGTGATAGACTTGCTTAAATGAAGAGCCAGTTTTCTTAGGATGAAATGTATCAGCAAGGTGATGCTAATTTTCATGAAATCATTTCTTTCTTTTCAAAGAGACAGTGTAGCAAAAATAACCTTGTGTGTTACCTGATTCCCTACTCTTTTATAACCAACATTTTTTAGAAAGCCTTATTTTGTTTTTTTTTTTTTTTACTTAATAGTTCTTACCGAATTCCTTATGGAATTTAGTAAATTGAATAATACTGATACTATTTAATGTCCAAAATGCTGTTATATCCACTCTTGCCCTTGATAATGATAAGGAAAAAAATTGCATTTGGAATCATGCCTTTGCTTTTTGTGGTTAACCAGTTTGCTTGTATTCTTGAGTTCATGAATAGATGCATGGTTTTCATTAAGGTAAAGGAAACCTAGCAGGAGATTTTCAACATCATTTGTGACAAAGCAAAATCATGAACATTTTCTATAATAAAAGAAGGGGCATGCAAGATGAAACAGAAAAAATATGACTCAGTTTATGAGTTTTGGTTTCCTAAAGAGTTGCTTGTTGTGCCTGCTGGTAAAATAACTAATACTTTTGTGGCACAAAAGCATTCTGAAGCATTTCATCTAATTTTCTAAAAATCTGTTGAATACAAAAAAATGTGGTGAGAGAGATCTAGGTCTGGTATCTATACAGTTCCACTGAGGGTCATTTAGCTTTTATTCTTATTAAAAACATAGACCCAGACCTATTTATGATTATCTTATTGGCTGCTCACAGAACCTTTAAGATCTTGTGGATAGAGACGTTACACATGCAACACAAGAGATGTCTGTCGGAACAGCGCCCATCTCTGGCCCGGTTTTGTGTGAGCCTCCATATATGCACATTCTTGCTTCTGCTGTTACTTGCATCTTTCCCCTCACTTTCCTGTGGTTCTGGTAACTTGTCTCTTCTGAATCCACTTCTGGGTATCTTGTCTCACTCTTCACATTGAGTTTGTATACTGGTGATGCAGCATAGGATTAAAAGCAGAGGCTTTGTTGTCTTGGAGAACTGTTTGAGAGCACCAGCTCTGCCATGTAGTAGCTCTGTGGCCTTGGGGTAGGGGAGTCTTGATCTTCAAGTTTTAGAAATTATTAAATGGTGGGGTATGTAGAATCTTTAGCACAATGTAAGCACACATTTTATAGTGGTTATTAGTATTTTAGTTATTTTTTTCCCTCATACTTGTATACTCCCTTGGTTGGAGTTGTTACTGATTTCTGACTGCCTTTTCTCTGGCCTTGATGACTTCCTTCCTTCTCTGGGATCTCAGGCTAGTCCAATTTCCCCTCCCTCCCTAACTTAAATATCCCAGTGGGTTCTGGCACATGGAGTTTGTCAGTTTAATGATGACCTGACTATGTTAAAATACACAGTCAATAATAGCATTTGGCCGGGTGCAATGGCTCATACCTGTAATTCTAGCACTTTGAGAGGCCAAGGTGAGAGGATCACTTGGGTGCAGGAGTTCAGGACAAGCCTAGGCAACATAATGAGAACCTGTCTCTGCAAAAAATACAAAAAACATTAGCCTAGTGTGGCGACCTATGCCTGTAGTCTTCTACTCAGGAGGTGGAGGAAGAAGGATTGCCTGAACCTAGGAGGCTGAGGCTGTGGTGAGCTGTAATCTTACCACTGGACTCAGCCTGAGCAGCAGAGTGAAACTCTAACTCAAAATAATAATAGTAATAAATAATAATAATAATAATTATAGCATTTGCTTATTTCTATGTGTTTTGTAGTTAATAAAAGTCTAGTAATTTAGATGATTTTATGCTTTTGGCTATTTTACCTTAGTTAATTCACAGAAAATTTTGATGAACACTTTTCTTCATAAATTTTATCTTCTTATACTTAGTATAATTAAAGTATTACATTTCGTGTGAGTACAGATATGAAGTGAGAAGGGGCATAGTATAGTGGAAACAGCTTTGGTTTTGGAGTCTGTGGCATTTATTGAAAATAACTACTTTTTCAAATAATATTTATAGTAATTATCATTTATTGAAAAGGTATTGCTTCTGTTTGATGCCATGAGTGCAATACGTGGCTTGTAAATCCTATTTAAGAGAGTATATTTTAAATATACAACAATGATTGTCCTTTCTGTCTTTTGGTTTTGTTGTTTCTGGGATAACTGTTGGCCCCTATTTCTTTTGACTTTGGCTTATGGCTACTTGACTATTGGTCTCTTTGCTAGAGTAGTGTAGCTTGAACCAGGAAAAAAAAAATTAAAATTACCAATATTTGCTCCTTACATTCTGTCGTTTGATGGGGAAGTAGACCAAAATTTGTAATTTATATCATCCAGTCACTTCCATTTGTATCCTATATATTCCTTATGATTATAGACATGTGTAATTTACTATATTGTAAATTGTGAATAATCTCCTACCAGATCTGACCCTTCTGAGAAAAAAACTATAAATTCAGGATCCAAATATAAAAACAAAATTAACAGCCACCACAACAAAACCTCTCATTACCTGAAGAGTCTTGCTATAGTTTTCTATGGCTGTTGTAACAAATAACCACCAATTTGTTGGTCTAAAACAATATAAATGTATTAACTT